ATGAACAACGTAGGCCAGCTCGCGAAGGCCCTCCTGATGGTAAGCGACTACCATAGCATATAGACAATATAGAGTAAGAATTATTTGCACGTTGCCTTCACATCTTATTACTAGACCAAAAGTTAGTGTAATAATATCTTCTTTAAGGTGGAATACATATTCTTCTATAAGCTTTATAGGCGTTAGTATCAATCACCCGATTCGAGCGAAAGATTGATAAATAAATTTGTTCTTCTTATTGGAATTAATTCAAAATTATTCCAGTTTTCTACAAAAATATTGAACAATGCGATATTTTAATTTTCTAGACCCCACTATTAGGCAGGCAAATCAAATATTTAACATTTTAGATCTGTTTGCAGAGTCTCAGCTTAGTTGCGCAAACGCACCCGCACGATAGCGCAAGCATGCGGAAGGTTCATAATCACACAGACTGGCTAATCGAATGTCAAACACGCGTGATACAAGCAACACACAGGCAGGCGGGCGAAGCGATGAGCGCCGAATTTTATTACATAAATCATACCTACTCGGATAACGCAATTCGAATGATATTAGCATATCTACTATAATTTTACTCGATCACGGTGAAATTCATTAGTTAATGTAAAAATATTTAATTATTTGAAGCAAGCGGACCCGACAGACATTGTCGTGCCAGATAAAAGTTTAACAACAATCCATGAACCAGACTGCAGCGCCATATATCGGGTAGAGTTGTAAATTTTCTAAACCAAAAGTAATAGGGATTTATTTTTAATACCTATATAATACTGGTGTGACTTAGTGTTAATGTTCATTATTGTGCATACATAGATATTATTTATCTACAGTTTCGCACTTACAACAAATTTAGTTGCAATCGCTCCAAATATCGATATAATTTTCAATATAAAATTTACGCAGCTCAATTTAAAACCGTTTGCCGTCACCGTAGTATCAACTAGTTCGTTTTAATGTCGCAATTCTAATGGTATTTTGTAAGCGTTCGCTATTATGGTGGTTACACAGTAATTTCTGACACATATTCTCGAATAATTTAAAGTTAATAAGTTTGGAATAGTTTGTTTGTGACTATTTTTTTTAATATCCATTGAAAGCATAAGCTGGATTATCAGAGGTAAAATGTTTTGAGGCATGTTCTACATGAATAAGTATAAATATGTATTAGGTTTAAACATACTCTTCGTACTTACTGTTGACCTAGAATTATGAAATTTCATAAGCTATGCAATTTACTTTAGCAGAAGTATAGGACTTAATACGAAACAACAAGCTTTTAGTTAGGTAGATCCACGAAGAAAATACTATTTTGTATCTGCTCCATGGTTACATTACAAAAGGTTTTTTTGCGATTATAAACTAATCTGCAATTGATAAAGAAAGGGCGGGGATAAACAAACTATTTGAATTCATACAATAACTTCTGTACGGAATATGGTACCATCGATGCGCGAGGCTGACTCGCACTTGACCGATTCTTTCTTTCTTTCTTTCTTGTTATGTAGTCCTGCAATAAGTAAAATTACCGTCTAGCCGCAGCTTTTTTCCATGTCTTGTAATTTTTATGTGAGTACCTGCAACGTTAATTTATGACATTACATAACATTAAACGTAGCATAGAAAACGTGCGTTATACAATCTCACATAACACCGTATCGCGTGCATGCCGTGCGTGCGTGACACCGCATGCGCCTGCGACGGACTGCACCGCTAACTTCTCGCCGATCGGATGTCGGATGCAAACCGCGCACAACTTCATTCATATTCAGACATTCACTCAACACTCACCCAGCATGCACGTGCAGCGATTCTCGATCGATTATGCATACAATAGGTGAAATAGTTATTTCGATTTTGTCACGATTGCCCTGCCTGCCTTGGCGAGCGAACGTTAACACTTTTCCGTGAAACGTTTAATTCTTCATAGCCGGTTATCTAATCGGTTCCAACTAGCTTGTTCTTATCGGCATTTCCACTTCATACTGCGATTGTGCAGAGATTATATGTGCAGCAGTGTTTTGTTGTCCTTTTGATTGACAAAATATTTCGCAAATATAAGTAGTGATTAAATAAATTAAATAAATAATAATAAATATTTCAAACACTCACACCAATTAGCCTAGCCCCAATGGGCCTAAAGTAAGCAAGCACTGTGTTTTAGGGATACTAGGGTAACGGATAGAATACATACACTGTACATATATAAGTATATTTATATATAAATACATATTAAACATCCATGACTGGAGTACAAACGCTCGTATTCATCATACAAACATCTGCCCCCACCGGAATTCGAACCCGGGACCTTTCAAGTCGGTGACACCATGAAACCCGGCGAACAAACCACTCGGACACGGAGGTCGTCAATTGATTGATTTGAGTGATTGACTTTACCCAAGGAAAAGCGTATCTTGAAGAAAAACTGCTAATTTAGGCCTAAGTATATAATTACAATATTTAGTTTCCGAAAAATGAGGAGTTCTTATGTAATTATAAAAAATATAATGTACTGTTTTCATACTGGTTGACTAGAATGATTTTCTTGATATATTATTAATAGTTCCTATGGACTACTATACTGTACACACAGTTTAGCTTTAGCGCGGGAGTCGTATTAAGCATGGGCTACACCGGGAGCAAAGCGAAACGAATTATTTTCATTCATATCTTTTCATATTTGGAGTCACCCTAAGAGCGACAGTATTGCTCATCTCCACAACTAAACTGTTGCGAAATTTGGTGCGCTTAGCTTGCTCCTGAAGCCACAACATTTTTCCATACTTGAGTTCGCACGAACGTCAGAGCATATTCGATAAAAAATTTCTATTTTAGGGGCTTTGTCCGTAGATAAGCCTCCCCCACCGCCATAATATAGCGTGGGAGAATTAGATCCATTCTAGAATATCTAATGGACCCCGACTGTTTAAGTAAGTAGCTTTGTTTCTTACTTAACAGAATTGTAGACTATTTTCTTCTTTTCAGCTTTTTATATAAACTTTATATGTAAAAGGCGGAATTTTGATTTTTTAAATAATCTTTTTTTATTTACCTCATTTGTTAGTTTTACATAGCTTTTATTCGTTGGCTCCTTGTGTAGCTTGCGTTTAAACAAATCTCATTCGCTCCCAGTGTGTCACATGCTTGTGTGTCGTACAGGTCGCGCGTGCTGATGCATGCGAACCCACGATGAGTGTTTGAACACGCGGATGCTCTTATAGTCACTGTGGCATAGCAAACATGTTAATATGTTTAGCTTGAAAGTTTAAGACAAGTAAAACAAACTAATGGAATCTTGCAAAGGTAGTTTTGAAAAATGTGGTAGTCGATAGGTTAGGTTCTGTTGATGTATTGTATACATTCAACAAACAATTTAATAAAACACATTTTTTTACTTTGTTTTTACCACTGGTTCGCAATACTGGATACCATGGAGCCTTTAAAGGTTTAATTAAAACAACAGAATCTTATTCAACAATAAACCTAACCAGGTAAGTAACCTCTAATTTACAGAAGACCACAGTAAAATGACCCCATCCTTGGGTTGTGTTGTGTTCTTGGTGAGTAAGGTTCTAGGGCTCCACAGGGAGTCGCGAAAGAATCCCTAACGGGGACCCCGCGGCTTCGCATTAAGCAGTATAGAAGGTATTCGCAGGACTTTTTTAGCGGATATTATGCCGTAAAGCGCCCGTAAGAGTTGCGGGGTCCTTGGTGGGCAGCAACTGGGGGGTTCGTAAGACTTGCGGGAACCAGGTGTGAGGTCCATTCGGCGGTGTGCCTCTTAAAGGCGCCGTCGTCTGTAAACAGTATTTTTTACCTGCGTTAAAAAAAAAGGCTCCACAGGGTAGGGGATTAGGTTAGGGTAGGCAACGTCGCGAGTGATATTTTTGGTATCGCAAGTGTCTATAAACTATGGTAGTCGCTTACCACCAGGCGAACGATATGCTTGTTAGCCACCCGTTTAAAATAAAAAACCCACATAAATTCTAATTAGAAAAAAAAAGTCAGTAACGAACTTTAACCCAGACAATAATAAATATTGCAATGTTAAGGTATAACCAGGAAAGTAATAATGTTTATTACATAGATTCTGATCGTACCTATGTATCCTGTCAGCCTGGATAGCGGAAGATGCGGTTTCAAATCCCGTTTGAAGACTGGACCACGTATAATTTTATCTAGTAATTCTTATGTCTTCATAAATTGTACATGCATAGGTACTATACTTACCTACATGTTTTAAGCATAAATATAGTACTTATGTATGTTTGTGAACACAAGTATGATTCTTGATAACATTGATGGCAAAGTTGGTCGTTAAACAAATTTCAACTAGTTAACTGTTTTTAATTGCTCGGCAGCGAGTTCAGAACTCGTGTCAACTTTGCCCCCGTAGGTAAATACGGTCCTATGTAAACGTGGCGCGAGCTTCGGCTGCTACCTCATCAGTAAGAATAATAAAGTACAATATTTACCCGATGTCTAAATTTGACAAATTATTCTGACCTTTTTGCTACTGTTTTAAAACAGCCAAGAAAATATTAAGGTTTTTTTACAACTAACATAACCTTATGCTGGCACTTCACATGGCTATTCGTGTTTGCTATTTTTAATTTTCACAGCAGGTTGTCCTTATCATACTTTATATGGAGTGAAAAGAGGAGGCTGTTGTCAAGTTTACAAATAGCAAATACAAACAGCCATGTGAAGTGCCGCCATTAGATTTTATTTTTTGTACTTAATAACCACCGGCCACAATATCTGATATTCGCTAATAATTTTTGATATACCTTATTACAAAACTTGTTAAATTTTTTGGAAAATAAATTGTAATCAACTTTTAATAATTCTTGAAGATGTTCTTTTCCATGATATTTGAATACCCTAACACCAAAGTCCCCACGCTGTTTTGGTGTAATTCTGTCATTCAAACCAGCACAAAACATAATATTGTCTATAAGATAACACGCCTCACTAACAAAATCTGTTGTCCACAGTCAATGATCCAGCTAAAGGAACGAAAAGAAATGGACGAAGCATTCAAGAAAGCGCAGAAACCTTGGGCTAAGCTCCTACAAAAGGTTGAACGCACTAGGTTAGAGTACCATACGGCCTGCAAGCAAGAGCGCACCGCTCAAAACCAGGAGCGGAACGCTAGCGGCGACAGCTCGCTGAGCCCGGACCAGGTCAGTGGACATGTAAGGAAGACAGATCTATTGATGGATTGATGAACTGTTATGTGTGTTGATGTGGCTTAAACAAATGGAATGGCTTTGTAGCAGCTTTTTGTTTTTTTTTAGAGATAGGCCCGACAATGACTGCACCCGACCTGATGTTAAGTGATGGTGGAGTCCAGACGTGAAGATAGCTGGTACAGCAGTTCTACTTGCCACACTAGCCATCCTCACCTTGTCGGCTTGCATGTTGCTTCTTCACGCCTTTTTTAAAGGATCCCAGGTTTTTACAAGAAGCGAACACGTGTAGCTTTCAAGGGCATAGTGTGGAAGAGTTCTAACACGCAGACTCCCACACTTCTTAAAGGAATGAGAATCAAAATCATTTCTTTTAGATTTTATGTTCAGTTAATACTTTTTACTATTTTAATATCGTTGGATACTTATAGCACGTTTTGTCGTAATCGCACTGCTTATTCATGTTCCAGTTTCTTTAAATTAGAAAACATCTGAATTGAATTTCGCATGCATGTATTCAGACCATTGATCTCATGTTATAATAATGTATTCGCACGAATTTGATGTTTTTGCCAAAAGTTTTCAAATTATCAAACACTCTTGTAGATTGAATTTTGTTAATAAAAGAAGCATTTTACAAATGACAAAAATACTACAAAAGCTTTAATTAATGAAATCATAAGTTAGCTTAAGACTAATAATACAGTAGTTATATCACAAACATCCATTCAAGCCAAATACCATATCAAAACTCCAAACAAGATTAGTTTTCTTCGTTCTTTTTCCATGATACATGGCAGCGCAGATTGTTATTGACATATCACGCGCCTCGCTTATCTGTCTCAGAACTCAAGTGGGGATAGATAATATAATTAGATAACTTAACACCATGCAACAATTTTACTGTGATGGATTTGGCGAGAATATTTAAATGCCCTTGGCGTTAGGTATAAAGATTACAATTTATGAAGACATAAATAAGCATAAATGATGTCAATACGTAACATGTTGAAAAATGACAAGTATAATATTCAAATGATGATCTGTATCTGTATTTCTTTGGTAGACTGGGTCTAGAACAGGGGTTCCCAACGCATTCTTGGTCAGGGACCACTTTTACATTTTTATTTTTTGGCATGGACCACTATTTAGTCACTAAATAACTAAATTTTAGTGTAATAAAATTAAACTGTACTAATCAAACTGAAACTTTAATTAAAAATCTAATATGAAATTAAATAAAAAGAAATAAATAACATTTTTAGCGGGCGCGCCCGCTTAATTCAAATTCATTCGCGGACCATTGGCCACTGATTGGGAACCATTGGTCTAGGATAAAAACATGGGATGCCAACAACAGCTGCATATTTTGCGAGTATGGCTATTTATGTGAATTTTAAAGTAAAGCACCTAGGTAATAAATTAAATTTAACTCCAAAAGCCGCTTACACAAAGCAAACTTGTGGGAGCTGCGTAGAGCACGATTTCCCTGACTGACCAAAGTCGACAGGGAAACTCATTCATATAGTACGCGACATGTATAGGGTGTCGGCATTTGTCATTAGATCCAACCCAGTGCCATGACCAAATACCTAAGTCGTGTAAAGGCGTCTTTATGATGTAGCGTAGCTACAAGTTCACTTATGATTTTGTAATTACATCGCCTAACGCGACGCCACAACTAGAGTGAGAGCGTCGAGCTTAGGTATAAGCTCTTAGCAGTCCGGAATCGATTTATTATTTCCAACTAATTTATATTGCTTATACAAGACATTTCCTTCTAGGATTTCCTTCTAAACTTTCCTTTATTCTTTATTTTTTAAGACGAATTCTTTTAGTCATAAAAAATATATATCGGATCAATTTATTGGAATTTAAAACGGGTAAGCACCGCATGACGTGTTGTTCGGAGCATGTAGGTCGGCTCCGTGTCGGTCGTGTCTCCTCATTTATGATTCATCACACCTCGTGTTACAAGGTGAAATTTTACACGGAAATCGCTTAAAATATTGCGGAACATGTTTTTTATTTGACGACCTCCGTGGCCGAGTGGTTTGTACGCCGGGTTTCATGGTGTCGCCGACTCGAGAGGTCCCGGGTTCGAATCCCGGTGGGGGCAGATGTTTGTGTGATGAATACGAGCATTTGTACTCCAGTCATGGATGTTTAATATGTATTTAGATATAAATATACTTATACATGTAAAACTATATGTATTATATCCGTTACCCTAGCATCCCATAACACAAGCCTTACAGTGCTTACTTTGGGGCTAGGCTAATTGGTGTGAGTGTTGGAAATATTTATTTATTATTATTATTATAAAGTTACTTCACACATGTTGCGAGTTGTACTCAGACGTCTGTATTGTAATCCCTACGAAGACTTTTATCAGATAAAAAAGTATGCTGTGTAATCCTAGTTTAGTTTGCTTTTCTATGAAAGCAATTAAAACAGATAGATAACAAAAAGAACTTTACCTTTTTAAAACTGTAAACTACGCGCAATTATTTTTTAACTACTCCAAAGAAGTTAATGAAATTAGCAGCAGAATTCCAGGCATGATACCTGCTGCGAGTTGAATTTTATTACGTAACATTTTCATGATGCGAGAGGCAAGGCACAGCGTATTTTCCCTTCGAATTCTTTTGGTGGTGTTGTGATTCTGCTGAGTAGGGTTCCAGGGTACCGCAGGGTAGGAAATTGTGATCAGGTCGACAAGGTGCGGATGGCTGGAGAGGCACACCTTCTGCCGCAACATCTATCTTCGCGAACCACTGGAACCACTTACACTAAATATCAGGTGGAGAGGGGTAATTTGTTGCGCCTCGTAAAAAAATGGATCATTAACTTTCTCTCCATTCTACTTTTCGAGATGGTCCCATGTAGGTAATTTGATCGGATGATCACTTTCGGAGATAAACGATGGAACTCCTCATCGACAAATAGTGAAAATTTTGGCTTTTGGTTGTTTCATGAAATTTATAATAAAAGAGAGAATGCTGCCCTGAATAAGCAACAGTTGCTTCTTAAACTGGAGCTTGGAACCTCATATTATTATGGGAACTAGAAAAGTTTTTAATTAAATTCCATAAAAGTGTCGTATGTAATATCGATCAGCAGGAGGTCTTTGTCCGTACGCTCCGGTGACTTAGTTAACTACGGCACTAGAATTATTTAAACCACCACAGTCTATACTTTATTGAGGTTTTAGTGTTGACGCCCAGTTAAATGGTTTGTTTGTGCTACTTTTAAAATCTATACACAGTGGTTATTATATTAAGTCGATTCAATGGACTCGAATCTACGTATGATATTCCTTGTGCTAATCTTTTCTGTTCTAATAAGTTTAGAAATTTAAAAATTGTTGAATTCATTGTCACAAGCAGTGTTTCTGGACCAATACGACCCGAAAACCTTAATATAAGAGCGTACTCTTTCCTTAAAGGCCGGCATCGCTTTTGGGATACTCTGGTGTTGCAGGTGGCTAGGGTCGACGGTGATCACTTATCACCAGGTGAGCCGTCAGCTCGTATGCCTCCTATAAAATAAAAATAAATACTTGTATACTCATGGTTCATCATTATATTTTAGAATTTTCGAATTGGTCGGGCCAAGCAGATTTTTTGAATTGAAACATCCGTCTAGGTTAATACCTTACAGAAGACCCCAATAACATAGTACTAAACACTTGGTAGTGTTGTGTGTTTGTCTATGAGTAAGGTATCAGGGCTCCACAGGGTAGGAGATGGAGGTCGGGGTAGGCAATACGTGAGTGGTGCTCTGGTATATGCTATGGTTACAGGTAAGGACTATGGTAAAGACTGGTCACATGAATGTTTGTCCTCCTTTTGTACTTAAAAAAATTCCTTATGACAAGGCCAATGACTAAATGTTATCAATTTATATCCATTTAGTGGCTTGTATTTCAAATATATAATTACTATTATTCATTGATAGGTAAGTGCAGTTAATTACACTATTATTTCTTAATATTCTATAGTTACAATTAACTATTCGACTTTGTGTTGGTTTAGTTCGAAAAAGTTTTTTAACACTACTTTGAATCGAATCTTACTCTATATTATTATTTCTCGGTTACATATCGTTGTAAATAACACTTTCAACGCTCGTTCAGTGAGTAAATAATGCCGGGGCATCTGGCCCGTCTGAAGTTACCATTCAGCGCTGTGTGCTGACGTCACGCGCGCCTGAGCTATTTTGGCCACTCTCGAGAACTACACTTTCTATAAAAATAATCTCGCGTCAGTGTAATGGCCATTATCATCAGGCCGACGTAAACTAACGACGATAATATTTGAGTTCTTATACATCTTTCTTACACAAAACATCCAGCTAGGCCACTTTAAACAAACGTTGGAAACTTTTGAGAAACAAAACATTTTTCGCAATTGCGTAATGATAATCAAACACCATAATACAATTGCCAAAGATGATTAGAGCTGATTATGCATTATCATGGTTGTTAAGTATTATCTTGCGAATGATGCAATCTACCTTATCTGGCGGTAAACAATAGAGATGTAGTTAACTAGGTATCATCCGATCTAAGCGCTATACACACAGCTGACCTAAACACGCCACGACAAGGTGTCCGTGACATGAAAACGTCTTCGTAAAGAGATAGACGAGAGATCAAAAACGAGTACTTGATAACATGAAAAAACCCAATCGGAATGCATTTCGATAATTTATTAAATACTAGTGGCCCGCCCTCGCTTCGCTTCGGTGTAGAGCTGTAGTGTAAACTATAGTTTTTGTTCTCAAGCTTGTGCTATAAAGAATGACTTTATTTATATAATTACACGTGTTATTGTGAGTCAACCATAAAAGATAGACATATGCTGTTGCGGGATATTTTTTAGACAAAATTATGTAGAATATTTCCGTCATACATGATTTCTATGTAACTTTAACCATTAAGGCTGCACCCGCGACGGAAGCTTAAAAAATGGAGTAACTTCTCCCGTTTTCCCAACATTTCC